GTTCTTACACTATACATGTTTTCTACACTCCATTTCTCGCGTATTTATAATATATTATATCGAGTCTATTATTTTCGCAAATTAATTCTCTAAAGTATAAAAAACAACGTCTGATGAGAAAACAAAAGAAAAATTTTTCCCCCTTGTTTTTTATTTACTTATAAATCATATAAAATTAAGTCAAAAACAAATTTTTTTATTTACTCTCTAAATATGAATTAGTACATTGTAAACACTAGCAGTCTTAAAAGTGCAAAAAACGTCTTGTTTTAAGACACATTTGGTGTTTTGGACGCGAAAAAAAACGTGTTAAAACAAGACGTTTTTTGCACTTTTAAGACGGCCAGTTTTTACAGTTTTTCTACTAATGAAAGAGTGCGGATTCGTTTATTACACGGAGAGAAATTTCTAGAAATATTTACCGTGCTGCCACCTGAAAGTGAGTGCAAAGTACATTCTGGCAGTTTTTTCTGTGCTGTCCCTACAATTTTTCATTATACAGATTGTAGAGGCAGCACAGTAAAAACTGACAATGTATTTTGCACTCACTTTCAGGTGGCAGCACGGTAAATATTCCTAGAAATTTCTCACCGTGCAATTGAATTAGTAACAGTTTTGACTCTTTTTTAGTAGAAAACTACTAATTAATGGAGTAAATCGGCTTACTAATTTAAAATAGTAAAAAATATACGATTTACTCCATAAATTAGTAGTTTTCAACTAAAAAAAAAGAGGAAAAAAATTGTTACTAATTCAATTATGGTAAACAAATTCGCACTCTTTCATTGGTTGAAAACTACTAATTCAGATTTAGAGAATAGTAAAAAAAATGTTCATACAATAAAGAAGAAATAAACATTAATAATTTAAAAATTATGTAAGAAAATTTAGAGCTTAATATATATTTACTTTAAAAATATATCTTTTCGTTTTTTTTTTTCGTATATCAAACTTTGGCTTTTATATTTTGAAACATTTATACAGCAAATGGGACTTTAGAATTGCATATCGATAATGCATCTCCTTATCAGAGACATACATGAGCACTTTGTCTTATCATTATTGTGCCATTTAAGAAAATTCCAAAGATTTATTCTTTTCATTGGTGATTTATAACTATAAATGACAGCTGATATTATTAAATGGTCGCTGATGTACTCGCGTTTTGTACACATAAAACAAAAAAGAAATTCGAAAACAAGGTCAAGACTATAACTGCAATAAGACCAGATTCTTTAAATAAAAAGAATTAAATTAATTTAAATCTTACAAAATTATTATCCAAAGTCCCTGGCAATTTATTAAATTAAAAATATACTTTTTATTTTAAATTGAATATTAAATAAATAATCATAGTTAAAATGTTTTTTTTGACTAATATGTGCGAGAATGTGGCAATAATAAAGGATTTCTGAAATACAAAGACAGAGTGAGAGAGCAAAGTGACCCAGATATTTGCCTGTCGTCGTTACGGATGGTTTAGGTAATGATACAGTTGAGAATATAGCTGAGAAAACTGGACAGCTATTATCATTGCACACTGTGAAAGTTAAATTTCCGCAAAATTTCGCTTATAAATAAATTTTGAATTTGTCTGCGAGCCAAAGTAATTCGCAAAAAGCACGTGCTGCTGTGCTTTTGCACTAGAAAGAGATCACGAATGCAGATAGAAAATGTCAAAGCCAAAAAGACTGCGCGCAGAGAGTTGGGACGACGCTTTGAAAACTAAAAGATGCTTCTTTGCCAAGAAATTCGAGTATCCTCTCTTTAACGACTATATGTACTGCATCCTAAGTACAGTGACTTTTCGAAATTTGTCAGCAATATAAATAGAATATATATGCATCGTCTATTAGCGCAAGAAGGTCGACGACTGTTTTTAAAAATTTATTTCAATTTTAAAATCTCTTCACAAAAAGAAAAAAAAAATTCTTTCTTAATGTTCATTTAATTTTACTAAAAACATTAAAAATTAAAATAAACTTCTCTCTAAAAAAAGATTAATATTAAGAAAAATTAAATGTATAAATATACCTACATTTAAGTTTAGTATAAAAAAATTCATTAATCACTTTATTGATTAAATATAAAAAAAAATAATATAATTTTTCATTTTCATAAAATTTACTATTGTCCATATAAAAAATAAATTAAACGAAATGCACCATTGTTATCGGTCAATTACAAAACAATCACAATAATGATAATAATAATGAAAAAATCGTTAACTCTGCAAATAAATTCGAAATATAATCCACAAATCTAAAATCGTTTGTCGCTCACAGCGCATATCGCAAAGTTCAAGGTCGGACAAGTTAGCGTTTTTATCCAGTCAAGAATAGAATTGACTTCGTACTAACATTTTAACTGATAAAATAAGTTGAATTTTTTTTTTTTTTTTAAATTAAAAAACAAAAAATTTAATCGAAATGGAAAAATGTTAATTTTAATTTTCAAATTACTATTTAATTTGTTTCAAATTTAAAAAAATTATTTATTTTAAAATTTATAAAAATTTTTTAATGAAACAAAAAAAAAGAAAAGGCTATAAAAAGCAAATTATCTTATTTAGAAAATGTAATTTTTTTTAAAATATTAATATAATTAAACTTGTAATATTAAAAACCTGTTTAAAAAAAAAAATGTAAATTTTTTAAATCATTCCTGAATAATATATTTATCAAAAAGGAAAATTGCTTCGAAAAATAGTTTCATTGACTGACTGGATTTTCCTCAACTGAAAGAAGACACACGAGAGTCATTATATACACTTGCAACTACTACTGTCCCCGATTCAGAGTTTTATCGCAAACAAGTTTTTTAAGTTGTCCGAGGACGCAGGTAAAAGTGCAGCAGTCTTTATCGCACGATTCTTAGTGAAAAATAATTGTGAACGACCTTCATAGTAAAAATTCCCAAATGCTTGTAAATAAAAAATTATAAATTTGAAAAAAATAGTTAATGAAATTAAAAAAAAAAAAAAATTGTTAAGTCTATATAAATAAAGAACGTAATCATAAAAGAAAAATTTTTAAATATAAAAAAAATATCGCTACATGGTAGTTTATTCATTTTCTAAGAAGTGTCAAGTGATCTATCTTTTCTCTCATATAAAATTATGTTGAATTATTGCATTTCTGTCTGTATAAATTGAATGACGTTTATCAAGTTCAAATATTTCCTTTGACGTTACAAAATATACATGAATAAAAAATATAGAGAAATGAGATTAATTTCTATAAACCGTGTAATTTAATTATTTTCTCTCGAAAAACTTTGTTATTTATAATCAAAATAATTTTCCTGTCTCTTGTTGTAAATGTTTAAGAAATGGCGTTTGCGTCGAATAATAAGATCATTTTTGCTCCTTTCCCCAACAAGAAACGCCTTGAAATTGCCGCGAGCTCAACGAGACGCAACGAGGACACACGAAGCTGTAGTGCGCAACGTTTATGATAAACGATTTTTTAAGAAATATTTTTTTTAAATGAAAAATTCTATAATTTTTGCCTAAAATTATTTTTTTATAATTTTGTTGATTAATAGAAACTGCAAGAAAAATTTTTTAGTCAAAAAATTATAAAAATGTTCATTTTAAAAAATTCTTTCTATAAAAATCGTTTATTATAAACGTTGCGTACTTCAGCTTCGTCGAGGACACACGCGATCGCAATCGATTTCTTTCTATATATGAGAGAGATTTTTTCGATACTACTTACATCAAAAACAAATTTAAAAAATAAAATAATATTTAGTAATATTGAAAATATTTATATTAAACTCAAAAATAAGAAGAATAAATTTTAAATGATTAAATGAAATTGTGACAAGAGAAATGTATGGTAAAAAGAATTAAAAAAGTTTCTAATTGATATAAAATGCTTAATTGATTGAAGACGATTATCATTCTGGTAAAATGAAATATTTTCAGTAGTGGGAGTTATTCAAGGCCATCTTGCTTTTAGAGGCAAGAACTCTCGGGTCCCGATTGGGTGTCGACGTCATTGAACTTGAACTCTATGTCTCACAAGAATCACTCCGAAAACATTGAGAATCGTTTTCTCAGTAAGATCACCCGATTTCAAAGAATACATATTTTTTTTTTTTTTTATGAAAAAAATGCCAAGATGTCTAGGTTACAATTTAAATAAAAAATAAAAGCACAATGGCATATCATATCTTATTAAATATCTAAATCTTTAAAAGTCTACCAAGCACTCAAAACGTAGAAAAATCACATGTTCTATAAATCTATTTAACAAGAAGATTTAAAATATTCAATGACACTTGAAAGAAAAAAAATTTAATTGCTCGTAATAAATATTTGATATCAATTTAAAAAGTAGTACTATAATTATTAAAAGAAAATGATGTTAAAAAAATTTGTAACTATCCTCACAATTCTTTAAAAAAAAAAAAAAAAAAATCCATTGTCAGTGACATTTTCTAACCTCAAATTTATAATTTGAAGAATTTTCACACGCAACACAAAAATATTTTACACGAAACGTTAATAAATAACAAAAATAAAATTATTAAGCAAAAAAGTGAAAGCGTTGAAAAAATATAGAAAAACATACCATGCAAATGAATTGCAGCATCAACAATTAATCACTAAAAAGTCACCAATTAATCAAACTATTTTCTCACTATTAGTCAGACAACATAAAATCAAGTATATATACATATACATTGCAAAAGATATCTAAATAAAGTACATGACATGTGAAGTACTTCCCGGGAATTTGATCCAGATTACGAACCCTGCCCTGTCCTTACGAAATCGCATTGTTGCGAATATGACCTACCCACTTCACTGTCACAAACGTAAACAAACAGAAAAAAAGCTGATTCAAATAAACAATGTCATCATTCTTTAAACGCTTATTTTAAACAATAAACCTCTCTTGTAACATCAAACTTGCTATAATTGTTCAGCCATTTTTGTCAACTCAACGAGACAATGTATAAGAAAGTGAATTTTGAGGTTATGTACTTACATAATATGCGTCGCACCGTGATATTATAGATGATTAGTGTCACTGTCCGTAATTAAGTGAAAAATCCGATGATGACGTAGCACTAATGAAGTACACTTTTACACGTGCACGGCACTGCTCCTCTTTTAATTATTATCAATACAATATATTCACAAAAGACTTAATGACACGAGTCGCGAAGACGACAATTTCAAGTGAACAAATTTATTGTTATCCCGCCTCATAGAAGGGGCATAAAAGTTTTCTTTCAAAGTGTGGAATAGCCTAATTAGCCATTCAGATTGATTGATAGTATGCACGAGCAGGTATGCGAAGTAACGAACAAATAAAATCAAATGCGTACAACTACCACTTACCGCTGAGAGTGCAAGCGCGCGACTGCGGCACATAGCGACTCCGCGCCGGCTTCGTGATTCTCCGCTTCGCCACAGTGGCGCCACTGTTGCCCCGCCCTGTGTTCCCATATTCCTATCTATATCACCGGTTCATCGTATTTTCACAAAAATTAGAATCAAGTTTATCAACAATTTTTAATGTCTGTTACTAATTGTCAGTTATTATTGATTGTGTCAGTTTATTTGTTCAGGCAACATTTAATAACAGCTTCAAGTTAAAGGATTTTCTGAAAAATCAATGAAGGATCGAATTGATTATTATTGTTCAAGTGCAAGTAAGTTTCCAAACTTTTCTAAAATGTGACTCTTTTTGTATATTAATGAATTCTTCCAAATAATATTTTTGTATGTAAAGTTTGAGAAGTGTTGACAGGATTTAACGAAAATGTAATTTGTCTTGTTTGTTTAGGTCCAGAAGAAGTTTTTCCGATTCTTGTCTATTTGTATCTAACAACATTTCTTTATTCGACATGGAGAAGATGTAATTCATTCATTCGTCGCAAATTAAATGCAAGTAAGTTTCCAAAATTTTCTAAACATAACCCCTATTATGCTGTTTTATATATATATATATATATATAAATCGTGGAAAATATTAATATTATTTTTTGAAATTATAATTTAACAATAGAAATTTTTCGATTCACTCAAATAAAAATTGTCTTTGAGTTTAAAAAAAAATTTCTTTTTTCGACATGCATAACCTAAAAGTGAATTTAACAGAGTTAATCATTATAAACATAATTACTTATATATGTAAGTACTGAAACGCAAAAAAAACCTTCAGTTAAATTTTTTTTTTTATAATGAAATTTTTCAAACATTGAAATAAATGCTATACAATCCATTTATAACCTAAAGAAGTTATGAAAATTTAATAAGAATATTAAATTTGTAAACGTTTGATTGAGAAAAATTGAACATTTTTTTTTTTTTTTATCTATTAGAGTGAATAATATTTTTGAATGATTTTCATTGAATCACAAACATTTAAAATTATTGCATTCATATGAAATTCCAGTCAGGATTTTAAAAGAAAATTTCACTGTTTGAATTATTTTCTCTGATCATTGAACTTTCAATGACATTTGCATATACTTATTTTGCAAAACTAACCGTTGATGATTCATTGACTCAGTAAAATCCAATTAATAGTCAATGGAAATTTACAGTAGATATACATTTCTGGATATAATTATCGCACTGATGTTAATATAATATATATAATTTGATAAAATTAAAGTTCTACTGATTTAGAATATTGTAATAAATAATAATGATTTAAATTTAATTTAATTACATAATTTAAATTGAAAATTCTAAATTCAAATTACTAAAATTTACATTAAAAAGAACATTGTAAAATTCAACCACCAAAACCATTTTTCCCATTAGCGACTGGTTGTCTAGATACAGGGGCACGAAATTTGGATTTTAATTCGATATTTCTGAACTTCGCGTTAATATATAACTTTTACATAACTTATCAAAAATAACTTTTTTTTATATATATATATATAGGTTTAAAAAGGTTTTTTTCTGCATTAAGAATATGAAATATACATTTTTTAATTTATTTAAAAAATGATATCCAAACATTTTTCGTTTTTTTAAATTTTCTATTCACTAACAGTTTTTGGTGTTTTTCCAAAATTTTTTAAACTTTTTTATAAGTAAATTAAAGATTTCCTGGTGACGAAAAAACATTTTGTTTTAAAAAAAATATAAAAAAAAAGAGAATAGAATTATTTTTTAGAAAAATTATTTATACAGAAATGTTTATCAGCCCCACTTTAAAACTTTTTCAAACTATTCTTATTATTTTTAGATATCTAATAAAAAAAATGCTCAAATTAAAAAAAATTAATTTGTTTATTAAAAACTTATTTTTAAAAAAAAATTTGCACATTTTTTCCCCTTTTTTGTTAACATTATTCAAAAGTCTAAAGAAAACTAAAACTTTTCTTCTTTTTGTATAAAAATTTCAAAAATCATTTTTTTAGAGTAAAAATTTTCAATATTCATAACTCGAAAATTCGGGCACTTATAAAAAATAAAAAAAAACATAGATTTAGGTATACCTTTTTTCTCTAAAGAACAAAAACTTTTGAAAAAAAGTAGAGAAATTTAATAAGATAATAAAATTCTCTGAAAAAGGCACACAATTTGTTGTCGAAACGTTTGAAATCAAGATTAAACATCGTTCTTTATTTCATGGACCCTAAAGTCAAATTTAAATCAATAATTAATTATACAATAATCAATTATCAAATACTAAATATGTCATTAATAAAATATGTTTCATTATTTAAATAAAAAAATATTTTATCGGGATCAAGGAAAAAGACAAAATTTTAGTTGTAAATTATGGAAAAGTCAGGAAAAAAAATTTTATTATGTATTTTTCAACGCTACAAATAATAGGTATTTTAGCCCTATTTTTTTCCTCAAAATTAAACCTTATTTTTCAATTTCGACTTACTTGGGTATTAATTTTTTTTTTAATTTTCATTTGAAAACTCAAGTATGGGTCAAAACTAAAAAATAAGGGTTAACCCTTTGAGGAGCAATGTTGCTTTCACACGGAGAAAAAGGAAAAAACGAATAAACACTCAGAAAAAAATTCGATTGAAGCAACAAAATTTTGGTTAAATCAACAAAATAAATGCATTGATATACAGTTAACCAAACATTTGGTTGCATAAACCAAACGTTTATTTAGCTCAATCAAATTTTTTCTTTGTTCAAAAAATTTATTAAAATAAACCAAACAGTTATTTAGATCAAATGAATATTTATTTGAATTAAACAAATTTTGTTTGAACTAACCAAAAAATTGGGTAAATATAAAAAAAATGGTACATTTGGTTCAAACATATCTTTTTTCTGAGTGAAGTAACTTATACTTTAGTCCGCAGTTTATGCGCATTTCTGTCAACAGGTTGTCCAGCGGTCAGGGAAATTTTTTAGTCAGTGAAAAGTCAGGGAATATTAGGGAATTTCATTAAAAGTCAGGGACCTTTTTAAAAAATTGCCGAAAATTAACATTTTTATGAATTTTTTAAACTTTTTGGTGCAAGAAAAATTTGATAAAGCTAATAAATAAAATGTTTTTTATTATCTTAAGAATACTTTCATATTTGGTACTTTTCATTTTTTTTAATATTAAATATTTATTAACGGGACTTTCTGGTTTAGAATTTTAAAACAATAAATGTTTTTTTTTTTGCTTGAAAATGTTCCTTAATATTATAAAATTACTGTCCCAAAACATTTTTTAAAAAATATATAAAAAACAAAAATTGTAATAAAAAATTGTTTGATAGTCCTGGCTCAATGTATTATGTTATGAAAAGTTTAAACACATTTTTCTCAAAAACATATTTTTCAAACTGGTGCATGGCTTTTCTCGAAATCTATACTGAACTGATTTTAAAAAACTAAAAACCATTCGATTTCTCCCTGTTTTTTTATAAGAGAGTAAATTGACCCAAAAACACGGTGTTTTTTCGAATTTTTAAGAAAAATGTGCATAAAAAATAAAAAAAACCTTCTAAAAAATCGTTTTTGCTTCCTCGTGGAGGAAGCTTTGTAGTCCTTTTATTTTAAAAAAATTTTAAAAGTGGCGGAAACAAATTTTTTTCTATAATTATAGAAACATGTTATATGAGATCCTGATCAATTGTCCGGATGTGTGTGTGTGGATCCCTTTTTTGTTTAGACGATAACTTTAACAGTTTTTAATGAATTTAGATAAAATTTATCTCAAAATTATCTCATATCTGACCAAAGGATTGTAAAAAATACCAAAAAAAAAAAAATTTTATCGTATTTTTTCAAAAATTTTTTTTTAATCCAAAAAATTTTTAAATAGAAAAATTTAAGGTTATATATAATAAAATTGTATTCCTTACGTCATGTCAAGACAAATTAATTGGTATATATGAAGTATAGTTTCAATTTTAATTTAAAGAATTAATGAAAGTTAAAAAAGAAAAAATTCACATTTTGTCAATAAAATTTAGTGATTTTTAAAATTGAAGTTTATATATAAAATAATTGTATTCCTTGTATGAAAACGAATCGATTGGTATATATAAAGTATACATTTGAGGTAAATTTAAAAAATTAATGAAAGTTAAAAAAAAAATTCCCATTTTAGCTGAAAAATTTTGTATTTATTTAAATTCAAGTTTAAATATAAAATAATTGTGTTCCTTACATTGAAACAAACCGATATAATTGTAAATAATTATAAATTATTTTCCATTAATTTTTAGAAATTTCAGCTAAAATGTGAATTTTTGATTTTTTAACTTTCCATTAATTCTTTAAATTTAACTCAAATCTATAGGTACTCAAATGACGAAGCTGAAGTACGCAACGTTTATTTAAACGATTTTTAAAGAAATAATTTTTTAAAATGAAAAATTCTATAATTTTTTGCCTAAAAAATATTTTTTGTAGTTTTCATTAATCAACAAATTATAAAAAAATATTTTTTAGGCAAAAAATTATAGAATTTTTCATTTTAAAAAATTATTTCTTTAAAAATCGTTTATATAAACGTTGCGTACTTCAGCTTCGTCTCAAATGTTTATATTATTTTTGCATGTTTATTTCATTGTTAATGCTTTCTCCACGAGGAAGCAAATTTTTTTGCTGATCGTAAAGAGGAAGCAAAATGTTAATGTAATGAACATCAGAATTTTTAGGTTTATTGTCTAGTATAAAGCCTTATGAAGAGATTCGCGTTTGAAATTTGAAATTATATATATTACAGATTGTCCGCAATCAGCTGTACCAAAAAAGGGCACCTTTTAGAAGACGTTACCTACAGCTAAGAAATTGAACTAAATACACTCAAAAATATTTTTTTTAATTTTCTCTATGTAATATGTGCAATAATGTCGAAAAAGAATTTTTGCAATTTATTTAATACTTTTCTTACAACAAAAGTTTTAAAACGTGTAGTTT